CCTAAACCACAACCACCCCTCTCCTCAAGCCAACAGGCCCTCAAAGAAGATGCACAAGAACCGTTGGGGGGTTTCAAGGTTTAAGCTTTGGGGCCGCCTCCCTCAACCCTAAACCCTAAACCCTAAACCCTAAACCCTAAACCCTAAACCCTAGACCCTTGACACCCAGCCGAAGCGCATGTCATGCAGTTAGGGCTCGGGAGTTGAAGGAACTCCAACTAGGACTCCCTGAACCCTAAACCAAGAATAAACCCGAAACCCGAAACCCTAAACCCTAAACCCCAATCCCTAATCCCTAAACCCTAAACCCTAAACCCTAAACCCTAAACCCTAAACCCTAAACCCTAAACCCTAAACCCTAAACCCTAAACCCCAATCCCTAAACCCTAAACCCTAAACCCTAAACCCTAAACACCCCAAACCGCAGATGCCGCCGAGGGGCGAGCAGCTGGCCTTCGGCCGCCGCAGCGGAGCAGGCCTGCGGGTCTAGGGTTTAGGGTTTAGGGTTTAGGGTTTAGGGTTTAGGGTTTAGGGTTTAGGGTTTTCGGGTTTAGACTTTAGGGGTTAGGGGTTAGGGGTTAGGGGTTAGGGGTTAGGGGTTAGGGGTTAGGGGTTAGGGGTTAGGGGTTAGGGGAAATCAGGACCCTAAACCCCAAACCCCCCAAACCCCAAAAAAGCACCCAAGAGAAGCCCACGCCTCGAGCCGCCTCTCGGCCTCTTTGCCCTGCCACAGTGCAGCCATGGCCAGGTTTCCGCCAAGAAAGGCGGTCGCGCTGATTTGGGGGGGTTTAGGGTTTAGGGTTTAGGGTTTAGGGTTTAGGGTTTAGGGTTTAGGGTTTAGGGTTTAGGGTTTAGGGTTTAGGGTTTAGGGTTTAGGGTTTGAAGGCGCCAGGGGCTCAGGGTTTCGGCATGCATGTTGAGGGCTTCGGATTTTCTGGTGACTGTTTTGCTTTCTGACGGGTGCTCTCTCGGGGTTTGAAGTTCATCTTGCTGGCTCTTGTTGCTTCGTGTTTTTTGGGGGGCTTGCGTTTGTATCAGGACTCTTCTTCAAGCTGTTGCGGAAGGCTCGGTGTCCATCCGCTTAGGCATGGGATGTGTCGGCTGCGCGCCCCTGTGACGTGTGCAGTTCACCAGCCTCCCAAAGCCCCATGGGCCCTGAACCCGAAGCCCCGACTCAACTTCAGCAGCACCAGAGAGTGCCCCGAACCCGACACCCTAAACCCTAAACCCTAAACCGTAAACCCTAAACCCTCAACCCTATAAACCCTATAAACCCTCCCGGAAAAGGGGCCCTCGCCGAGGAGATGCAAAGGAAGAAGGCCTCGGCATGCACAGGGCTTGGGAGGGCTTAGTGTGTAGGGTTTGGGGTTTAGGGTCTAGGGTTTGGGGTTTAGGGTTTGGGGTTTGGGGTTTAGGGTGTAGGGTTTAGGGTTTAGGGTTTAGGGTTTAGGGTTTAGGGTTTAGGGTTTAGGGTTTAGCCCTTGACTTTAAAGGGTTCAGGGTTCCAAGTTTCTTGCGTTCGGCACTTAAAGAGACCCGAAGCCCGAAAGCCCTAAGCTTCCACGTGCTGGGACGAGCCCAAGCAACCTGTTGTTGCTTGCGCTGCCCGTATCAGTCGCATGAGCTTTTTGGCTACACGCATCTATACTCAACCCGTTTACTTTGAAACTGTAGTCTGTCGGTCCTCTCGCTCATTCTCTGGCTCTCTCTCTCTCTCTCTCTCTCTCTCTTTCCCGTCCTTCCTCTGCACATCCTTAAGGGCGTGCGCCAGTGAGTTCATGGTCGGTGTGCAACAGTGCCGTGACGTGACTAGCTGAGGCGGGAAAGGTACGGGTTCAAGATAAGAAGGTTCCAAGAGTTACTACTGGTGCATGGCCCAGGGCACAAGGATGTGAAGTGTTTAGATGTGTGCGTGTGCCCCACGGGAGAGTCTCTCTCTCTCTCTCTCTGGCTCTGGCTCTCGCTCTCGCTTTGGCTCTCGCCCTCGCTCTCTTTCCCTATCCCCTTCTATGCAAGCACAATGGACTTAGCCTGAGCCCTAAACCCCGGACCCTAGGTTGCTCATGATTCAGTTATGATACTAGTTCTTAGCAGGGAATTGAAAAAGTTCAAGTTCTGAGCCTAAACCCTAAACCCTAAACCCTAAACCCTAAACCCTAAACCCTAAACCCTAAACCCTAAACCCCGACTTGCTTCTGCTTCAGTTGTGACATGTGTGCGATGCTGCGTCGGGCGGCAGAGGCACAAAAGGTAGCGCCGATGCCGATGGCGGAGTTCCTCTCGCGCCTGGCGCCCGAGTTGGGGGAAGGAGCTCAAGGGGGTGTAGGGGTTTAGGGTTTGGGGTTTGGGGTCTAGGGTTTAGGGTTTGGGGGTTAGGGTTTAGGGTTGCCTGGGGAGTTTAAGGGTTTAGGGCCTAGTGCTCTTCACCTTACCAGAACCTCTTTCATACCCGAACTACCCAAGCCCATAAGAAGGCTCAAGTGGCACTCAAGTGAGTCTTATCTTCTTTCAGCTAGCTAAGGTGAGGGCGAATTAGAATGTCCCATGACATGAGCTTTATCGGCTCAACGCAACCCCTTGGGCAAATGGCAAAGGGTCCGCCTCAAACCGGCCACAACCAAGTGGGAGGCCTTTCGTCTCTTGCTTCTTTGGCCGCGGCCGCGGCATCCGCATCCTCCGCGGTTGCTTGCGGGCACTTTAGGTCTGGGCTGCAAGGACTGGAGGGCCCCCTAAAAGCCTCAACCCCTCCACCCCTAAAAGCCTAAACCCCTAAAACTCTAAAGAGACTTAGAAGGGTCAGTTCAAGGGGGCTGGGGAGTTGAAATCCCTTGTGGTGGGGGGGCGGGGGATTTACCCTAAAGTTCGAAACCCTGAACCCCAAAGGCAGATGGGAGAGGAATTCTCAGGCTCAGGAGAACACAGGGATGTTCAGGGGTGGATAGGTTTGGTGTCCCGGCATTGGGGTAGAATTCGGGTGGCCGAGCTTTCCTTTGAGCTTTAGTTTCTACGGCCTTGGGAAATTCTTAACTCAAATGTTATGGACTCTTTGCGGTTCAGGGTGTAGGGTTTAGGGTTTAGGGTTTAGGGTTTAGGGTTTAGGGTTTAGGGTTTAGGGTTTAGGGTTTAGGGTTTAGGGTTTAGGGTTTAGGGTTTAGGGTTTAGGGTTTAGGGTTTAGGGTTTAGGGTTTAGGTGTTAGGGTTTAGGGTTTAGGGTTTAGGGTTTAGGGTTTAGGGTTTAGGGTTTAGGGTTTAGGGTTTAGGGTTTAGGGTTTAGGGTTTAGGGTTTAGGGTTTAGGGTTTAGGGTTTAGGGTTTAGGGTTTAGGGTTTAGGGTTCACACTTCACACTGGGCCACTGGCAGCGAATTCGCGCTTCTTGCCGACCCTCGGGACGGCGAGGAAGGGCTCGTTGGGCCGAACAATATGAAAGTTAGGGGTTCAGGGTTTAGTAGAAATTGTATAGGGTTCAGGTCGGGAGTTTTGACCGAAAGTTTTGACCGAAAGTTTTGACCGAAAGCTGTTTTTTGCTTTGGGACTGGGGCTGGGTCGGGGGGGGGCTGGGGGGCTGGGGCTGGGGCTGGCTGGGGGCTGTCTAAACAGCTGACAAGCCGAGCTTAAGTAAATGAATTCAAAGCGCCTTTGGAAGGTCAAATATTCAATTCACTTAGACCTCTGGGTTCCAAGCTATTTGTCTAAACAGCTGACAAGCAGAGCTTAAGTAAACTCATCCAAAGTGGTTGTATCATTCTGAATTTGTCCAAGCAGCTGACCAACCGAGTTTGACTAGATTACTAAAAAACGTACATTCATGATGATGCCACATACAATTTCTCTTTATCCTGGTCTTGAGGGTTCAGGATTTAGGGCTTAAGTACAGGGTTAGGGTACGCAGAGGCTTGCAGAGGCCTCCGGCCTCCGTGGCGTCCCTTTGAGATTTGGGGCTTAGGGTTTGGTGCTTAAAATTGAGGGTCCGGTGAAAGGACAGCTTCATTATTTAAAGTAGAGTCAGGAGGAGCCCTTGACCCCAAAACCCCTCCCAGGCGCACCCTAAAACCCTAAAACCCTAAACCCTAAACCCTAAACCCTAAACCCTACACCCTAAACCAACCCTAAACCCCAATTCAACCCTAAACCCTAAACCCCCTGAAAGGCCTTCAAGCCCAAGAACTCCAAGTAAACCCTAAATCCCTAAACCCTAAACCCTAATTATTATACATCGAGCCTCCCCTCCCTGCAGGAAAGGAACTTGCGGGTTCATGCTGGGGTTTGGGCACTGCGGGGCACCCCAGGGGTTCTTTTTGGGGGGGGATACTCTGGGGTTGGGCTCTCCAGGGATTCTCACAACACCACATCGAGGGTGACCCTAAACCCTAAACCCTAAACCCTAAACCCTATACCCTAAACCCTAGACCCTAAACCGGTGAGTTGAGTGAGTGAGCGAGTGGCCTCGCGCAGGATGCCCTGCCTCAGGCGCCCTCCCGGCCTAACTAAGAAAAACACAACACAAGCAGATGAAAACTAAGTAAGGAAAAGCATCATTCAACAAAAAACAAGTTTAGGGTTTAGGGTTTAGGGTTCAGGGTTTAGGGTTTAGGGTTTAGGGTTTAGGGTTTAGGGTTTAGGGTTTAGGGTTTAGGGTTTAGGGTTTAGGGTTTAGGCTTTCGTAAACAAAAGAACTTCGGGCCCCCGGGCTTGAAACGCCAGAGGACCAGCGCGCTGGAGATGCCATCCAGGGAGGCCTCTCGTGGCGCCAGGAGGCCGACCCCCCCCGGCCCCTTTAGGGTTCAGGGTTTAGGGTTTAGGTTTAGGGTTTAGGGTTTAGGGTTTAGGGTTTAGGGTTTAGGCTTTAGGGCCCCCCCCCCACCCCCTCCCCCAACTCACTTTTTGGGGGGTGGTCGCACCAAAGGCTGCGTCAGACAACGTCACCGCGGCCGGGGTGCCGCAGGTAAACTTTCGCTGAGTCTCGCAGCGAAGGGAACTCGGAAACTCGGAAACTAGTGCATCAGGGATGGGGAGACAAGACTGTGGAGAAGCTCCGGTATGCTGCAGCGGTCACGCGCTGAAAGGCCTTGAAGCCCGCCTCTTCTAGGAGCGCCCTGCCCTCCTCGTGGTGGCCGAGGCAGAGAAGACTCCGACTGAGCAGAGCAATCGTCCAGGGCGACAGGCGCGAACGGGACACCACGAGTGGCGGCGCGGGCCAGAGCACGTCGAGGCCTCCTCCCAGCGCATGTGGGAGGAGTTCGATGTCGTTCAGGAGGCCGGGATTCATCTGCAGCTCAGTGTCAAGGACGTGGCTATCAAGACTTGCCAGATCGATGCGGCCCTCTCTCAAAGCTGAGATCGATGCTTTGTGGGACCCAGTTTGCAAGACGGCCTGAAAGAGCTGGTTCAGCGGGCTCTTCTTGGAGTCCATGGGAGAGCCCAGCTTTCGCACGACGTGGTCGTAGAGGAAAGACTCAAGAGCCCGGCAGCCGCTCCAGCTGTTTGGCTCGTTGATGCCCAGCTTCATGGAAGCCAAAGCGCTCGCCATCGACTCCGGGCTGCCTCCGGCAGCCAAGAGAACGCTGACGCCCTTCCTGCCGACCAGCACACACTGGTATGCCGGCAGGGTCTGCGTCGTTTCGTGCATGTCGGGGACAGCTTTAGGATCATACCCCCCCTGTTCCACGACCTGCCGGTGTGGTGCGAGCACGTGGCTGCGACTCCTCAACGGAGCTGCGATGACAGAAGTTGCCAGTCGCGCCTCCGTCGATGCGGCGAAGCTGGCCATGGAGAACATCGCGCCGCACATGAACGCGACATCGACCGATGCAGCTCCACCATCACCTTAGGGAGTAGTGGGGAGTCTTAGGGCCCCTTGGGTTACATACGCCCCCCTGACCCCCCCCCTCCCTTAAGAACCCGATGATCACCGCCTCCCGCGCCCACGAGGTTCTCCCAAGGAGTTCGTTCGAAGCTTGGCTCACACCACTCGAGGGGGAGGCCGGTTTGCTTGCCCAGTAGGGCAAAGAGCTTCTTGTAGAATGCTTGCGCGTTGTGACCTGGGGGTTTTCTCACAAAACTTTACGGAGAACTCCAAAATAGACCAAAAAATCTGAAGACCTCAACCCCACCCTAAGCCCGGAGCCCCCCCCCCCCAACTTTCGAAACACCCCAAACCCTAAGCCCTAAGCCCTAAACCCAAACCCCAAACCCCAAACCCTAAGCCCTAACCCCCCCCCTGCCCCCACCTAGATAGGAGGTGCAACGAATGCCGCCACCTGAGGACCCCAAACTCCCAAAGGCAGCTCTGGGGAGGAGAACCTCGTCAATCCAGCCCTTGGCATGCCAGGAGCTTGGCATTGTAGGGGTTTAGGGGTTTAGGGATTAGGGTTTGGGGGTTAGGGGTTTAGGGTTTAGGGTTTGGGGTTTGGGGTTTAGGGTTTAGGGGTTAGGGTTTAGGGTTTGGGGCTTATTGCTTAGGGTTGTCGAGGGCCCTGGGGCCTTAGGGAGTCTGTTGTTGCTTCTGCCGGGGCATCCAGCCTCCGACGTCCCCAAGTTCCTGTTACTCTTAGTGCGTCGAGGCTCCTGCTGGTTGTCTGGAGTGGGTTCCGCGAAAGTCTCGGCTCGCGTGAAAGAATCGTAGAGGTATCTTCCCGGCGCCTGCTTCGGTACGGAAGAAGGCGGAGGGTCTTGCATCCAAGTTTGGTTCTTGCCGCTGGAGGCGGGAAAAGCATCGTAGAATTCATCCCTGGGCAGGGCATACCTCCAACGGATGCCAAAGCCGCCGTACGGGCAGGAGGAGCCCACAGCCTTCAGGGTGTCCCTAAAAACCCTAAACCCTAAACCCTAAACCCTAAACCCTAAACCCTGAACCCTAAACGCCTTCAAGGTGTGAGCATCCAAAGGAGCTCTCGGGTCTTCGTCCTTCGCCAGCGCCGGCAGCCCCACGCCGAAGTCGACGGCGAGCGTTCGCTGCAAGTGGATGACCCCGGTCTTTCGCAGAACGTTTCCCGTGAAAGAGCCGCTGTGAATTCCTAGGATGGCCCTTAACACCCCCTGAAGAAGATGTAAGCTACATGTGATCCCCTTAAACCCAAATAAGGACTAAATATGATCCTCTTAAACCCAATCAGGGAAAGTAGCAAATATAAACTGAATGTGGTCCTCTTAAACCCAAGAACGGAACATGCAACTAAATATGATCCCTCTCAAACCCAACAAGGGAAACTATAAACTAAATACAATCCTCTTCAAGATTATAACAGTACCCCAAAAAGGCCCCACCATACTCCCCGATATGATCCTACTATATAAACCAATCAAGGGAAACATACGCAGCCCTAAACCCTAAACCCGAAACCCTGAACCCTAAACCCTAAACCCTAAACCAAAGGCCCACCGAGACTCTCACCCATGAGTAGCTCACGGGGGCCGCTCTTGCGACAGCCCTCTGGTGCCATTTCGAGGTCCCCATCAAGGTCATCGGGGTCTCGCCGTCCTTGAGTTCAGGGTTTAGGGTTTAGGGTTTAGGGTTTGGGGTTTGGCGTTTAGGGTTTAGGGTTTAGGGTTTAGGGTTTAGGGTTTAGGGTTTAGGGTTTAGGGTTTAGGGTTAGGCTTTAGGGTTTAGGGTTTAGGGTCATCGGAGTCTAGGGTTTAGGGTCTAGGGTTGTTTATAGGGTTTAGGGTTTAGGGTTTCGGGTTTAGGGCTTAGGTTTAGGGTTTAGGGTTTAGGGTTTAGGGTTTAGGGTTTAGGGTTTAGGGTTTAGGGTTTAGGGTTTAGGGTTTAGGGTTTAGGGTTTAGGGTTTAGGGTTTACGGGTAGTTGCATGGTCCCTTCAGCTCACATGAAAAGGGGACCGCCTATGTGCCCCTGAATATACCCCATATACAAGCCAAGGGACCTTTAGCGGCCTTCCAACGACAATGTTGACGTAATTGACGCCGTCAGGAAGAGGAAGGACGATGTAGAAATGGATGTCCTTCTGCCCTTGGAGATCTTTCATGAGCCCTTCCTCGACTTTCCAGAGCTCCGCAGCACCGGAGAGATCCGGCTTCCTCCAGCCCACAAAAGTCACAAAACCGTAGCGCCTCTCCTCGCCACTCGGATTCTCGACATCCTCCTCCCAGAAGGCGCTGGGTCTCAACAGCGCCATGTAGGCCTTCTCGGCATGCTTGTGGAAGATCTCGTGGCCGGCGTCCTACATGGCGGGTTCCCTTCACAACTGGGTTTGCCGCGATGAACAAGATGCGGAGCCTTATCGTAGGGACATCCCAAGACGGGACCATAATTTGGGTCAAAAACCCAAAATGGACCCCCAAATAGTAGGATTCCCTTGTAATGAGGACCCCAATAAGGTACCCCCGAATTTCACCAAACCCTGAACCCTGAACCCTAAACCCTAAACCCTAAACCCTAAACCCTAAACCCTAAACCGGCCTCAGGACTCCTCGCCCGAAGAAGGATGAGCTGCTCGCGAGCTTCCGCTGGCGAGGACGCCGAGGGAAACTGCGGCTGAGAAGCTTCCGTCGGCCACTCTCCCCGGAGGCCTGCCTTCATGAGCCTGGGTTTAGGGTTTAGGGTTTAGGGTTTAGGGTTTAGGGTTTAGGGTTTAGGGTTTAGGGTTTTAGGGTTTAGGGTTTAGGGTTTAGGGTTTAGGGTTTAGGGTTTAGGGTTTAGGGTTTAGGGTTTAGGGTTTAGGGTTTAGGGTTTATGGTTAGGGTTTAGGGTTTAGGGTTTAGGGTTTAGGGTTTAGGGTTTAGGGTTTAGGGTTTAGGGTTTAAGGATACTCTTTAGGGTTTAGGGCTCAGGGTTTGGGGTTTGGGGTTTGCGTTCATCGGAACTCAAACTCAGCGACCGCTCTAGGCGAATGCCCGTGAATGCTGGCCTCCCTGCACTGGCAACTTCACTTGCAGCTCCTCCCTAAACCCTCAACCCTAATCCCTGCACCCTAAAACCTAAACCCAAACCTAAAACCCAAAACCCGAAACCCTGCACCCTTAACCCAGAACCCTCAACCCGAAAGCCTCAACCCTAAACCCTAAACCCTAGACCCTAAACCCTAAACCCTAAACCCTAAACCCTCCAAAACTGGCAGGGAGCTCTGTGGCCACGCCCAGCCCGTATTCGCTGAACGCGGTCATGTCACGGACGGGCCACCCTTGTGAGGTGAAGGCGCCCTGGAGGTCGCCCGGGTGCGAGTAGCCTGGGTTTAGGGTCTAGGGGTAGGGTGTAGGGTGTAGGGTGTAGGGTTTAGGGTTTAGGGTTTAGGGTTTAGGGTTTAGGGTTTAGGGTTTAGGGTTTAGGGTTTAGGGTTTAGGGTTTAGGGTTTAGGGTTTAGGGCGTCCCAGCATCTGCTACTTGTAGCCTCCTGCGGCAATTGACTACTTAGGGTCCATAGCTGCAAACCCAGTGGCATGGAACTTGGCTGCATTCCTTCATGAGCCTCAGGGCCTCGGAGGCAGCCTCCGAGTAGAGCTTGCCGCCATCCGTCGGAGGGCGAAATGGCACCTCCACACTCGCATGTGGAGAAGGAGCCGTCGTCATCCCTAGCAGGCTGCCTCGTGGCACTCGGACCGCGGGGGGCTGCGAAGATAAGACCCTAAACCCTAAACCCTAAACCCTAAACCCTAAACCCTAAACCCAAAACCCTCCAAAACTGGCAGGGAGCACAGCCAAACAGAAACCCAGAGCCAAGAGTATCCTGGGCAAAAAAAAAGCATGCCCTCTTTGGTCTCAAGGGGCTCATAGAAGGGAACCTGAACCCTTAAAAGGAAAACAAAAGAAAAACTAAATAATAATAATAATAATAGTAATACAAATACTAATAATAATAATAATACCAATACCAATACCAATACTAATACTAATACTAATACTAATACTAATACTAATACTAATACTAATACTAATACTAATACTAATACTAATAATAATAATACTAATAATAATAAGAATACTAATAGTAATAAAAATTAAAAATTCGGAGCCGACTCTGGGTCCCAGAAGAGGTAGGCCCATTCAAGGCACAGCAGCTTCAACATGCCCGGGGCCGGCGCCAGATGTGGCCATGCTCACATGAACTTCAGAACCCTACACTGCACAAACCCTCACCCTGCACCCTACAAACCCTAAACCCTAAACTCTAAACCCTAAACCCTAAACCCTAAAACCTTACGTCGGAGACGCTTGCAAAAGATTTAATGGAAGCCTTCTTGTTGTAAAGTTGTGCTAAATAGTGCTGGATAGTGCTTAAATAGTGCTTAAATAGTGCTAAATCGTGACAAATAATGCAAAATAATGCTACACTGTGCTAAAATAATGTTAAATAGTGCTAATTGTGCAGAGAGCGCCAAAAAAAACATTCTAACTCGTGTGAAAATAAGCACAAAGAAACACCATCATTAGCACAAAGCGGCCACATGACAAACTTTGCAGCCAAAATGGCCAAGACGGCCAAGAACTACCCGCAAAGAACGCTCTCAGACCTAGGTAGTGCCCCATCTACCAGTAATTATGGCTTGAAAGGCTTCCCTGATATTCAACCTAAAGACGCCTTGCTCACTAGTCTGCGCCTCCATGCCGAAGCCGATCACCGACAGCACCTCACCATCGGGCTCTGACAGTGCTAAGTAAAACCTCGAATAGGAGAAGGGGGGTTGTTAGGGTTTAGGGTTTAGGGTTTAGGGTTTAAGGTTTAAGGTTTAGGGTTTAGGGTTTAGGGTTTAGGGTTTAGGGTTTAGGGTTTAGGATTTAGGGTTTAGGGTTGAGGGTTGAGGGTTTAGGGTTTAGGGTTTAGGGTTTATTTGGGATTACAACATACGGGCCATTAATCTCTACCTGAACTCATGGTGTCGGCTGAGAACCAGCGCGGAGCGCCAACCCCCCCTGCAGCCCGACAGCCCGGAACCCAAAAGACACCTGAAACCATGAGAAGAGCTCAGCATGTGCGGCAGGCGCACGTCCGGAAAAGGATTCTCAGAGCCTGTGTTTCGAGACTTTCGTGGAAAGTGAAAAAGCAGCTGGGTCTCCACCCCCCCAAAACCCAAAACTCCAACCCCCCTCCCCCCGCCCCAAACCCTACAACCCTCAAAGCCCCAAAGCCCCAAATCGCAAAACTCCAACCTCCCTCCTCCCCCCCCACCCCAAACCCTACAACCCTCAAATAGCCCCAAGCCTCAAAAGCCCCAAAGTCTCAAAAGCCCCAAAGCCCCAAACCCCAAACCCTAAACCCTAAACACCGGAAGCTGGGGCCAGGGGCATTCTCTGAGAAGCCGATGCCGAAGCCCAGGATGGCGAGTACCTGCTTTGGGGGGTTTAGGGTTTAGGGTTTAGGGTTTAGGGTTTAAGGTTTAGGGTTTAGGGTTTAGGGTTTAGGGTTTAGGGTTTAGGGTTTAGGGTTTGGGGTTTGGGGTTTGGGGTTTGGGATATGGGGGGGTTCACTTGGTCCTCCAGGGGGTTTCAGGGTTGTCGGGTTTAGGGTTGTAGGCTTCAGGGTTGTAGGGTTTTACGGCTTAAGGTTCAGGGTTGAGGGTTCAGGGAACTGGGGGATTGGGGTCTAGCATTTCAGACCTGTAGTTGCGGGGCTAGGCCGGGTTCAGGGCTTTGGCATGTACACGCGCTCTGTTTACAGCTTGTTCGGTTACAAAACCCTAAACCCCAAACCCTAAACCTAAACGACAGACTGCAAACCCCAGTTGATGTGGAGCTCTCACATGTGTGCTTGAGTGCTAGGAAGGCTTGAAAGCTCCAGTGCTTACATACGAGAGCTTGGGCACAGGGTTCATGACCCGAAGGCCTAAACCCTGGACGCTAAATGGATGCCAGGCATTCGGGGGCCCAGGCGCGTTTCGGGGCTCAGAACCCTAAACCCTAAACCCTCAACCCTCAACCCTCAACCCTCAACCGGCGGGGCTTTTTTTTTTTAAAGGTGTGGCCCGGGCCTCCTTTTTTTAAAAGGTGCCCCGCTGGTGGTCCCCTTGGTCCTCTGGTCCCCTGGTCCCGTGGTCTGGATGTCTGTTTCAGGGGGGGAGGATCTCCGGACGATATATATAAATCTTTCCGGACTGCATATAAATATCTCCGGACTATATATAAATAGGTGCGGTAGCTTTGGGCTACTTGTGGCTACTTCATGTAGACTTGCCACACTCAAACTCCGAGCCTTTTTTGCCCGATACGACGCACTGCAACTCCTACTGACTGCACGTTCACCCCAGTACCTCCAAGGCCTTCGCGGCCTGAGCCGCAGCTGCTGCCTCCTTTTCTTTCTCCTCCCTCTTCTTCATCTTGAGGCTGGCCTTGAGAACCTTCTTGAGGAAACGCCGATGCTTCGATTCTGATTTTGTACGCCTTGTGCGCACATGCACTTCGATCGACTCTAAGTTGTAGGAGCAGCCATCGCAGGTTCGGAAGCAACACCGCTTCGCCATCTCTGCCACCATCACGTCTTTCAGCACAGTCAGCAGGCATTGCCTCTCGCCGTCGCGAGTGATCTGGACTTCGAAAGTCCCCGTGGTGCTACCTGCTTCTGCGCCACCTACAGACCTACAGCAGCCTTGTCACAAGAGTGCCCTGCGCCTTGAAGGAGCGAGTGCGGAAAACAAACCTGAACGAGGGACGCGGGAAGGGGGTGCCTACGGGTTAGGGAACGCAAGGCACTCGCAGAAGAGCGGGTGTGGATCGAAGACGACAAGGGGGACTCGACGGCCTGGTTGGCCACCAAGAAGGGCGGCCGGGAGCTGCGGGGACGGTGGCTGGATGCACGATAAGCCCGTCAGCTTCAATGCTCGCCGCTATCACATGGTGGAGCCGCACCAGGGCAGCATGTGGGCGCTCGCAGCTTATGTTCCGCAAGCCTATACTCGTGCGACTGAGCAGCACCGGCAAGCGCTGAGGGAAGCAGGCTTTCCGTTGCCTGCTTGACAAAAATTCTCAAGCAGGGAAGCACGGACGAGATTTTCGTCCATGCTCGAGACATTGAGACAGATACCTGTCAGTTTTTTCACGATAGCTTGAGACCTGGGCCAGACGAGCGAGACAGGCGAGACAGCTGCGACAAGAGGCTAGATAGACTAAAGCTGTCTCAGGCCTGTCTCGTTTGTCTCGTGCTGGTTTTGGACGATTTTTCCCTCTCTGAGAGGGTGTTCCAGCGCTCCACTCTATGATAGCTACAGGCCTAAGTTCGCGACATAGGTCAGAATTCGGTACTTCGAAGCACTATCGATTCGAGGGCCTACGGCCCGCAAACGGCAACCAAGGTGCAGTGGAAACTGCGTAAGGGCTTTCAGGCTGCCTTGGCTTGGGTAATTCGAGCGCTTATTGCCATAGAGCCTGGCCCAAAAGCGATTGAAAGTCGCCTTTTGTGTATTCCCAGGCCAAGATGGGACGCCTAAGACGGTCTACGGCTGTGGGCACCGACATGCCGCCTCCAATGGCCATCCTGGACAGAGGGGATCCGAAACGGGATGCACCCGGACTTGCAGGCCTGTATCCATATCTTCTTCAGGAGCGCTGTCACTATTTGCTTCCAAGTCTGGCGTTGGTCCTTCATTGCCTACAGGATGCGTCAGCAGACACGCCAAAGGTAGTACCCTGCGAAAGGACACGTTGCAGTCCGACTTAGCGTCCGGCCATTCCAGATTGAAGACGGCCCAGAAGTGCTCGATGGTCTGACATGCAACTCCCGTGGCCAGGGCACGTCGAATGGCCTCGAGGAAGTTAATGGGCTTGTCACCAGGGTCAAAACGCTTGTAATGACGCAGGCGCAGCAAACTTGTTGACGCGGGGCTTTTGCACCTGTCTGGCGGCTTCAACATCCTGACTTTGGGCAGCCCGGGCCCAGCGACTCAAGGTGTCGGCACCTACCCACCCCGCAGTCACTACCTGCCCGCTATCATTCCTTCGAAAGACAGTTTTAGGACAGGTGGGCCTTCGGTACGCTCTTCCGGCCAGAAAGGCCACCGCCGTTGCTGGTGGGACGTTAATTTGTAGGTCAGTAATTCTGCCCTGTCGATCCCCTTCCCCCCACTTTGTCGCTATTGGGCGAACCCAACACAACAGGCAAGCGCCCGGCCCTGGTAGGCGGCGCGTTCTGGTGCGCGTCAAAGGCGAGAAGCAAGCCAGCCAGCCAGTAATCCGGGTCACTGTAACAGGTCATGGCCGGGAATTTGGCAGCCTGCACTCCATGAATGTCTCGAACGGCAAAGAAGAGATCTGCGATGTACTGAGCCATGGTGAGGAAGCCATACCCAAGCAAAGACTCCTGCAGGCTCGCCAGGGACACCTGAGGTGCTGTTGTGCCCAGGACCGTCGGCAGGTTCAGCTGTTCAATGGTCATTGCTATCCTCAAACCGGCGGGGGTAACATCGGGTTATAGATCTGCAGATAAGATGCCGGAAAAGTGTCCGGGAGGTAAAGCAACTGGTTGGCGATGTGCAGGAGGCGTTCAGGGTCGTCCAATTGGCTGGGCAAATCCTGCAGCAGTTGCTCGTATGCAGTGTAGGCCTGCAGCTGTTGCTTATGCGTTGTCACATGTGACGAGTCCTTGAGCGCCATGTAGGGTCTGGGCTTCAGCCGCGGCCCAATAGGAAGGCCATCAGCAAGGGCCTGCACACACTGAGACCCCGACTCAATATTCCGAGCCTTTTCCGCACGCGCTGCCTCCCCCTGTCTTTCCAGGCCGGGTGGGGGATCCACTCGGCTGGGTTCGGCCATCCTGGGTTTGGCTTGCGGCTTCGCCTTGGGAGGCCCATAGCTGCGCGGTCTGGGGGCAGCGGGGGCGTCCTCACCCCACAGAGTGCCTTGTGCAACTGGGCACCGGCGACGGGCAACCTGCTTCTGTGGAGTCACGTCGTTGCGCATTCTCCAATTTTGGCCCCTCGCCTGCGCGGCTTCCTGCCTTTCAGGGGGGCAGTAGACTGACTGCCACTCGCGGGCGTGGTGCCTTGGGTGACACCTGTGCAGTGTTTGCTGGACGGCTTGTTCTCATTGACAGCGGCCCTCGCTGGCTCACTACGTTTCGCAAGTAGGAGGTTAGTCCTCATAGCCTGGCTCGGCACCCCCTGTTGTCTTGAGTCATTGAAATTGCCCTCCCCCGCCTCGGTGCCAGGATTGGCACCTGTGCGGATTTGAGCGCTCGGAGCTGCCTCCACGTTCATAGCACTTCGGCCTGCATCCTCCGCAAGGGGAGGCTCGCCACGCTTTGCGGGGAGCAGGGTGACCTCTGTAGGTCGCGGTGCCAGACGGTGCCCAGCGGTGGGTGAGAACACAGGAGGCGGAAGGAGGGTCACCCTTGGGGGACTGGAGGTACCAACGACGCCATCCCCTTCCAGAGGACTTTCTTGCGCCATGCTTCCCACCCGCACCGCCAGAAGGCGCAATCCTTGTGGTTTGCGGCGAATGCCCGCCTTATGCTCGAAAGGGGCATCCGTAGGCCGTTTTAGAGGGAGGTGCGAGAAGACTGGCGTCCCCAGCAAGTGTGTGAGGTACTGAGCTGCACCATCACTCGCTTGAGCAGACTGGAAGGGCACGCAATAAACCGCATTAGGCAGTGCACTTACCTTGAAGCCTTGCGCCTCCAGTTGTGCTAGCGTGCCTCTCATGGTTTCAGAGCGAAAAAGGGGGGCATTTGCCCATACTCTCCTGCCAGAGATCGCGAAAGAGGACCACCTTCCGCCAAGAAAACAACGGGAGCAGGGGAGCAGAGGACCACGGGACCAGACGATGGGACAGAGGGGACCACGGGACCAGGGCCAGAGGACCAAGGGGACCACCAGCGGGGGGGGGGGGGGGACGAGCCACACAAAAAAACCCTGGCCCCCCTCAACCCTAAACCCTAAACCGCAGCTCAGAAACCTCAAGGTTGAAGGGTTTACCACAGTTTAGGGTATTGGGGAGCCGCAGCAACTGGAGGCCCAACCGACATGCCCAGGGCACCAGCGAGATCAGCACCGATACCACGGAGACCTTCCTGGAGGGATCTAAGTCGTGGGGGGGTTTAGGGTTTGGGATTTTGGGGTTTCGGGGTCTCCATGAAGAGCTTTGCGCCTGCAAGTATCGGGCGGGGATGCATTTGGCTGCTGTAGTGGGAAAGCTCTCTAAGCCATGGTCTTTGATTGAGTCCGTTAGAATCCTTTTTTGACGGTCCGCATGGTTGCCGGTACCCAAAGAAGGTGCCCTAAAACTCTATGCCTACCCTTAGAACCAGAAAAATCCGGCTGTGTGCCCTAAGCCCTATAGACCCTAGACCAACACTAGACCCTGAAACCGTGGAAGACTCAACTCATGGTTCAGGGCTCCCTGAATTTGATCCTTACCCTAAACCCTCAACCCTCAACCCTCAACCCTAAACCCTAAACCCTAAACCCTAAACCCTAAACCCTAAACCCTAAACCCTTTACGTCCAAGCTCAACCTGTACTGCCGGGCCTGGCTGAGAGCATCAGGAGTTCCTCCTCCGGCCTCATGGGCACTCTCCAACAGTTGAAGCTTCTGGGGCTCAACCCTAAAGCCGAAACCCTAAACCCTAAACCCTAAACCCTAAACCTAAACCCTAGACCCTAAAGGGCCCTGAGTTAGAACGATGTCGCGTCGTCGACCTTCGAGACGTCAGGATTTAGGGGTGCAAGGGATGTCGGGATTTAGGGGGTAAGGGACCCCGAAAGTAACCCCGGTCCGGTTTAGGGTTTCGGGATCTAGGGATTTAGGGATTTAGGGATTTTGGGATTTTGGGATTTAGGGATTTAGGGATTTAGGGATTTAAGGATTTAGGGATTTAAGGTTTAGGGTTTAGGGATTTAGGGTTTCGGGAGTTAGCTCTTTAGGGCGGGCGTTCAGGCCCCCGGATGCAGATCGACGAGTGCGTCTTCCGGGCCCACTGACGAGGTCACCGTCCACGTGCTGGGAGGTTCCAGCTCAAGGTCTGGGCCTGACCAGGGCTTAGGTTTCGGGTGTAGGGTTTAGGTTTAGGGTTTAGGGTTTAGGGTTTAGGGTTTAGGGTTTAGGGTTTAGGGTTTAGGGTTTCGGGTTTAGGGTTTAGGGTTTAGGGCTAGGGTTTAGGGTTTGGGGTTTGGGGTTTAGGGTCTGGGATTTAGGGGTTTCCGCCTTCGAGTTTGAGTCCAACCCCACCCCACCCACCCCACCCCGCAGTACGCTAAACCCGTACGCTAAACCCTTTGCCCTGAACGCTGAGCCCTAAACCCTAATGAAACGCCCCAACCTCCCAAGCCCGGCAGCCCCAAAAATGTGCCTGGCTCCTCCTTGCCCAGCTTGCTGGGGATGGGCAGGCCTCGTTGGGGTCTTGTTGGGGGCTTAGGGTTCTGGGTTTAGTGTTTCAGGATTGAGGGTTTAGGGGTCTAGGGCTTAGGGGACTTTCGCGTTTTGGGCTTGCCAAAATCGACCGCCCCACGCCCTGACCCGAAACCCTAAGACCCAAGATGCTGAATTTCACAAGCAACACATGGGGCCCTATGACCCTTCTCGTTTTGCAAGCTAAACGCTCCTTGTGGGCTCTCCTTTCTGAACCGCAGATACACGCCTCACATCGCACCAGCTACCCCTCTGCTCGGGCATGGGCTGAGGCCATCGATCGGGGCCCCCTGGGCACTTTTGACATCAGGGACGGAGGAGGGGGCGCAAAAAAACGGTAGGGGTTTGGGGATTTTGGGGCTTAAGTTTTCGGGAGCTTCTCAAGTGCCCTAAACCCGAATACACCCAAAACCCTCAACAGCAACAAGGTGGAGGCTTTGGGGTCATGGGCCTGGGGCTTCGGTTCTTGGGCTACGGGAAAGATGGGAGGCTTCACGCTCAGTGACACCGAAAAAAAGGCCGGCTCGAACGGCTTCAAAGACCGGAACACCCTAAACCCCTTAAACCCTCAACCCCAAAAGGACCCAAACCCTATAACCCCCCAAACAATCTAAAAACTCCAAAACCCTAACACCCCAAAACCCCGAAGCCCAAAACCCCCAAACCCCCAAACCCCAAACCCCACAACTCTACAACTCTACAAAAACCTCAAAAACCCGAAAACACCCAATCAAAACCCGTAAGAAGAATCCCCAAACCCGAAAGCTTGGGATGTTCCCCCTTAAACTAACAGTCCTGCATAGCGAGTATAGTACCCCCTATTATAATCCCTATGCAGGACTGTTAGCATAAGGGGGAACATCCCCCAACCCTAAACCCTAAACCCTAAACCCTAAACCCTAAACCCTAAACCCTAAACCCTAAACCCTAAACCCCAAGGACTGTTAGTGGGATATTCCCAGGCCCGGCAAGCCTTGGAGGGCTCGATCTCCACGTTGACCAGCTCAGGATCCGCGGGGCTGCCTGGCACTTGGGGGGTTTAGGGTTTAGGGTTTAGGGTTTAGGGTTTAGGGTTTAGGGTTTAGGGTTTAGGGTTTAGGGTTTAGGGTTTAGGGGTTTAGGGGTTTAGGTTTAGGGGTTTAGGGGTTTAGGGGTTTAGGGGTTTAGGGTTTAGGGGTTTAGGGGTTTAGGGGTTTAGGGGTTTAGGGGTTTAGGGGTTTAGGGGGTTTAGGGGGTTTAGGGCCCCATCCTGCCCCCCCGAAGCCTTGAGAAGCCCAGGGTTTAGGGGTTTAGGGTTTAGGGTTTGGGGTTTAGGGTTTAGGGTTTGGGGTTTAGGGTTTAGGGTTTAGGGCTTAGGGTTTGGGGTTTAGGGGTTTAGGGTTGTCTTCTTGCGGGTTCTTCTGAGCAGGCGTCTACGGGGGATATACAGTACCTTATTCCCCCGAGTTTCTCTACTAGCCGGGAGCTAACAAAACACCTTAACCCTAGCCCAAGAACTCGGGTCTAACGATGTGGAGGTTCCTCAGGGGCGGCCAGGCCATCTAAGCCCAAAGGCATACGCAACAGTTGTGGGTTCAGGGTTTGGGGGTTCGGGTGTAGGGTTTTGGGGTTCAGGGTTTGGGGCTGCATTGAGGACCTTTCTGGAATACGACCTATAGCACGGACACGCAGACACGCAGACACGCAGACACACAGACACACTCTGGCCTGAAAATGTCGGATAGCTTGACATGATGGAAAGCCCTCGGCGAAACTCCCCCTGTTGTGCAGGAGATCTCCGAACCTCTACGAAGCTTGGTGGCTTTGGAGGTTGGGGGGAGGGAGGCTATTTGCAACTACTCTGATCCCTAAACCCTCCCTAGAGCCTCAACCCTAAACCGGGCCGGGTGCTGAGTAGCCACTTGCAACTGGCTGGCGGACAAAGACAGCTGCGGCAGAGGCTTGGCTTCATACAAGGGGTTTCGGGCTCGCGATTGCGGGTTTGGGGGGGTTCAGAGCCTCGCCCCAAAACCCTAAACCTTAAACAACCCCCAAAGCCGTACATCCCGCAAGCTGCCAAGGCAACAGAAGGAAGTGAAACTCGCCTTGATCAACTGGGGAGTCCTTGCAAACCCCTAAACCCCCTCAACCCTAAACCCGAAACCCCTAAACCCTAAACCCTAAAGCCCCCACCCAAGAACCCGAAAGCAATGAGGGCTGCGGAGGGGGAAGGGGGGTTGGGGATGGAGGCGTTAAGGGATTGTTGAGCCCTAACCCTGAACCCTGAAAGTTTGTGCCATGTCGCTTGCAAAGAGGGTCCCAAAACCTTCAACAAGAGGTTTGGGGCAGGCGTCCAGCCTTCCGACATCGAGATTCCGTACGTTCACAACAGCGGGCTTTTGCAACTTGGGATAGGGTTTAATTAAGGTTTACTTGGGGCTTCACTGCGGTTTAATTGCGGTCTAAATAGGGTTTAGCTAGGGCGTACTTGGGCTTTCATTGGGATTTATAGCTACGGAAAAAAAATAGGGTCATGACCGGAAAGTTGAGGGCTTCTTCCTGCGAGATGCTCGGCCTTTTTTGTAATAAGCTTGCAGCGCCCGCTCCGCGTTCGCGGAGGCGCCTGTTCACGACCTGGGAAACCGAGTCTTGCGAATCAAAGGTCCGCATGGCCACCTGCCATACTGTCGCAGGAGCAACGCAGGAACCCCTCCCAAACAAAAAACCAGAAGTGCTCCATCCTAAACCCTAAACCCTAAACCCTAAACCCTAAACCCTAAAAAACCCTAAGCCCTAAACCCTACACGGCCTTCACCTAAACCCCTAACTCTGAAGGTGCCTAACCCCTAAGCCGAAGCGCTCAACCCTACTCGCATGCAGAACATTTGACAAAGACAGGCTCGGCTTTGGCAGCATTGGGCCCGCAGGTGATCGAATACTTGCGGGTCTTCTTAGGTTGAGGGGGTTTAGGGTTGACGGTTTAGGGTTTAGAGTTTAGGGTTTAGGGTTTAGGGTTTAGGGTTTTGGGTTTAGGGTTTCGGGTTTAGGGTTTAGGGTTCAGGGTTTCGGGTTTAGGGTCGGGTTCTGGGGGATTATCGGCCTTAGCGGCTGGGGCTTCAGGGTTTAAGGGCTTAGGGTTGAGGACTTCGGCAACTACAAGGCGCAAGGCGTACAGCCTCGTCCGTCACGCAGGGGCACCAATGCAGGCCGAGCACGAAAGGCACGAAGGGCAGAAGCCCCGGCCGAGAATAAGAAGAAGTCCTCGTGGAGGACCCCCCCTGGGCATACAAAACCCAAAGCCATGCAACCAACCGCGCAACAAGCCGAATCGAAGACACCCAACAGCCCTAAAACCTCCATTTCTTGCAGTCTCAACCCTGAACGCTAACATTGAAACCTCAACTTTAAACCCGAAGCCCGAAAATAAAGCATAAGACTTTTTCATAATCTGAGGCCCACTTTAAGCGGCCCTCAGCATTTGGAGGTGGCACCTGAGCAGCAAAAAGATCGTGAAAGAAGTGGGCCATCCTTTCTGGCAGAGCAAAGAGCAGAGTATGAGAGTGTGAGAGTAAAGGTCAAATGTTAACAGACGTTATGCGAGGAATACACGGAAGTCTTGCAATGTCGCTTCGTATAGCTCTGTTTTGCTCGAACAGATTCAGAGTGAGAAAAGGGAAAGTTTGATGGAGAACTTGTCTGTGTCTTTCTCTAAATAACTTAGGAAGCGAATGAGACGACCAGGCGATCGCTATATGAAATGCGCATGACACGAATGATTGCAGGGGCCAAGTATATACTGGATTCTAGTGGTCTTCGCTATTGAAGAAAAGATTGTGTACGGTTGAACACTTTATAGGGCAGATACACACAATGCCAAAATGATCCTGGAATTTGCTTGATCTACCTCAGACAAACTCGATTACTTTGCCTAGGTACTGTCAGTTCTCGGTAATCGATACTGATTGGTGGGTGATTCGCTCATTTAACCCCAACAGATCATTTCATGTGGAATTACGTGACCTCTTGTTATTAGGACTTTGTTGCTTGGATGTCTCGCTTCTTCGAAAATCCCCAGCGATGAATATTCAGGCATCCAGCATCATCCATGTGGTATCTTCTCTAAACCTACAGTCGAGAAGAGTATGCTTTCCATATCATTGCTCACTTCGAGGGATGAAGCCTCAGAAGCATAGAAAGCCATTTACAACTAAACCCTAAACCCTAAACCCTAAACCCTAAACCCTTCTAGGGATCAAGCCTCAGAAAAAATCGAGCCCTGTGTCAAGCCCAAACCGCTCCAAAAAACCCAAAGCCCTCCTAAACTCGAAGCCCTAAACCCCAAAGGCCCAAGGCTCCCCCTAAGCTTCCATAAAAGATCCCTGGCCCTAAACCCTAAACCCTAAACCCTGAACCCTGAACCCTAAACCCTAAACCCTAGAAACCCTAGAAACCCTAGAAACCCTAGAAACCCTAGAAACCCTAGAAACCCTAGAAACCCTAGAAACCCTAGAAACCTAGAAACCCCAGAAACCCTAGAAACCCCAGAAACCCTAGAAACCCTAGAAACCCTAGAAACCCTAGAAACCCTAGAAACCCTAGAAACCCTAGAAACCCTAGAAACCCTAGAAACCCTAGAAACCCTAGAAACCCTAGAAACCCTAGAAACCCTAGAAACCCTAGAAACCCTAGAAACCCTAGAAACCCTAAGAAACCCTAGAAACCCTAGAAACCCTAGAAACCCCTAGTTACGAGGCCGTGTCTCCGACAGCGCGACCTCCTCCTGACGACACTCAACGCTCGGCCCAAGTCCCCCACCTGTCTAGGGTTTAGGGTTAGGGTTTAGGGTTTAGGGTTTAGGGTTTAGGGTTTAGGGTTTAGGGATTAGGGTTTAGGGTTTAGGGTTTAGGGTTTAGGGTTTAGGGTTTAGGGTTTAGGGTTGAGGGTTTAGGGTCTAGAGGCTTCAGGTTGCTGGGGAAATGTCATGAGACTTTAGGCATGAAACATTCAGTAGTTCGTTGCACCTGAAGCCCCTAAAGCCCCCTAAAGCAGCCAAAGCTCCCAGAAGCCCCAAAAGCCCCAAGAAAACCCAAAAAAAAAACACCAACAAGCTCCAAAAAGCCTCAAAAGGCCGAAAAAGCCAAGAAGCCCCACCCCAAGAAGCCACAAAAAGCCCCAAAAAGCCCCAAAATTCCCAAGAGCCCCCTCAATGCTCTTGTCTGACCTGGAAGGCAAGCCTTACAAAACCCCAGAAGGCCGTAGCCGGAAGTCCTCCCTTCTCCAACACCCCGAGAACATCGTCCAGGAAATCCTGGCAACTTGGGATGTCCCCCCTTATACTAACAGCAACTTGGGACTATAGTACTCCATATTATCATCCCTATGAAGGACTGTTAGTGTCAGGGGGAACATCCCAACCGGCAACTGTCTCAGCAGGTGTTGGGCTTCGGGTTTCGGAGCGTTGGCAGGCAGGAGATGTAGCTTGCATGTAAGAATACGACCTTCAAACCACAAGAAGGATCCCATTTTTTGAAGTCGTAGGGCCTTTGTGACTCATCTCCCCCACAGGGACAGCCGACATATACACCAATCTACCTAAGGAGCCTGACAACAACTTCATCTGATCTGAGAAGATCAAGACCCAAGGCCATGAATGCCACAGCACCTTGCTTTCAAGAACCCCCACATCGCACCGGAACAGCGGAGACCCCACTAAACCCGATAAACCCTGAACCCCGAATCCCAAAACAGCGGGATGGCTTCAAGTGTTCAGGGAAGGGGGGGGG